AGGGCTGATCTCCTCACAAATAAATAAATAAATAAATAAATAAATAAATAAATGTCTTGCTTCTCTAGATAGAACTTCTTGACCAATGTTAGTAAAAATGATAACTGTGATCTTATTTTTATCTTTAATGGAAATGCCTGTAGCATTTTCCTGGATTGGCATATTATTGGCTGCCAATTTGCATAAGTTTATTTCCTGTACTTATGCAGTAATAGATATTTAGTGTTTACAAGTGTACTTTCAGTGACGATGACAATATTCTTTTTGTCTTGACTCATTAGTGATATTAAATTACAGAAATATTTATTGAGCACTTTTTAAGTGGCATCATTGTGCAGACATGGAGAGTATTATTGAAACAAACAAACAAACTAAACCAGAACAAACAAAACTGACATCATCTTTCTCTTTGCAGAGAATGCAGACTAGTAGAACAAATGAATATTAAATAAGTAGTTGCAAATATGATGGATTTCAGGAAAGAGAAAATACAGTTTGGCAATAGAATTTTCTAACATAGAGAGATGAGGAAGACTATTCCCAGGGAAACAATATTTTAAGTTGAATGAAAGGGAGCTTAGTTGAGACTTGAATGATAAATAGAACTTAGCCTTGTTTGGAGCTAGCAGTAGGGATGAGAATACTTTTCTAGACGAAGGAGGAAGTATGTGCATAGTCTCATAGTCTCATAGTCAGGAGACCTTGTCACTGAAGGAACACCTGTTGTCTTACCTGTATTTAAAATGGCACACATTACCTATTTAGACTTTTATTTATCTACAATGATCATTGTTTAGAGAAATGCAGTATCAATGCATGACAACTCAATGCTTGGGTACCACTTATTCTAACACCTTGCAGTATGATAGCCTAAACTTAGGGAGTGGTAAGGTCTCATTCTTCTTCGTCACATGGGTTTCCACTATCTCTGGTCTCATTTCTGTTCCTCTTCAGAGAAAAGACATGAGTCTCAATGAATGGTTAAGTTAAAATTTAAGAAGAAATAATTAAATACTGCAGTTGGAACTCTGGAAATGAAGTGGTTGAGGAATTTACTCTGATCCTTTATATGAAATTGCTTTTAATATACATATTTTAAGAAAATGCAGGAGGTTTTATTGCTCACAAACATTCCTGGAGTGTAACAAGAAGGCTGAAAATGTAGCAAGACCAGATTTTGGAGAACTTGTTAGGTATGTTAAGGAATTTTTATTTTGATTCAAAAAGAATTGGATCAATATAGTTGATTGCACGTAGAAATTTAAAGAGAGGAAGGTATAAATGATGAATTGCAAGTTTCTGCTTTGGGTCATTTAGTGAATGATATTGATAATCTCTGAAGTATTAGACACAGTAGGGGACAACAGGTTTGTGAAGAAATATGATAGATTTTAATTTTAATTTTTGAAAAATGAAATTTGAGGTGCCTATAAGATAGTCAAAAGAGGATATCTAGGGTGCAGTTGCATAAGTGCATCTTGAAAGATCTAAATGAGAGATAAAGAATGGGGAGGCATCAATGTATAGCTATTAATTGGCATCTTAGGAGTTGATGATATAGATCAGGAAAAGTTTTGAGAGAACAAAAGAGGACTTCAGGCAAAACCTTGAGGAATACCAGGATTTAAGAGACAGAATAGGAAGAACAGACAAAGGATGAGATAAGGTGCCAACGATGTTCGAGAAAAATTCAGAGTGTTGTGACAAAACCTTAAGAGAATGGGGGCCGGCCTGGTGGCATAGTGGTTAAGCTCATATTCTCTGCTTTAGGCAGCCTGGGGTTTGCAGGTTCAGATCCCTGGCACGAACCTATGCACTGCTTATCAAGCCATGTTGTGGCAGGTGTGCTACATATAAAAAAGAGGGAAATGGGCACAGCTGTTAGCTCAGGGCCAATCTTCCTCACCAAAAAAAAAAAAATTAAGAGAATGTTTTAAGATTGAAGGGATCGATGGTGTCAAATGCTGCTGAGTAGTCACGTAAGGATTGAAACGTGGGGCATGGACTTCATCGGTGACCTTAGTGAAAGTGGCTTCAGTAGGAAGGTGAGAACAAAAATGAGATTAAATGGGTTAAACGATAAGCAGCAGATGAGAATAGAGATAAGCAGTGTAGACAATTATCTCCTTGGCTATGAATAGGAGAATAATTAATTATTTCTTCATAATTTAGACTCGAAGATATTTGAGCAAGTTTTAATTGATTAAATCCTGAAGGAGCGGAATTTTTAAAAGACTAGATTGAAGACAAAGGTAAGAAAGAAAATAAATGATAATAGAAGGTACCTGACAAGGTGGGAAGACTTGAGATAGAGGGTATGCATTTGTTTTTGGCCCCAGATGTGAAAGAGACTTTTTTCCTCCCAATTGTAGCAAGAAAAAAAAAAAAACGGGTAGAGACTAGATATTGAAATATATATAAGTATACAGATATGATGCTGTCTTACATGGTTCCATATCTAATGGCTTCTAATTTTTCTGAGAAGAAAAATAAAAAATTATCTGTTAAGAAAGAGGGAGTTGAAAATGGTGGTTGTGCTTGGAGGAAAGTCATAGATGGAGATTAAGTTGAACAAGATCATGTTATTGAAACACTGGGCTTGTCAAGGGTTAAGTTTAAGGATGATGATCATGAAATCATGGGAATACACATATGCCTAGTGAAGAAGTGTTTTTCCATAATGACCTAGAATACATATTAGACTGATTAATCTAGGAATTGAGTTTTGCCACACATATGTGACGGAAGGTCAGTGGAGCTAGGGCAAGCAAATGTTTGTAAAAGTGGTTGAAATGATGAATCATAGAATTTAACCTAAATAAAGAGGACTGCAAAGACACTTGGGTGCTGAATGAATAGTAGTGAAAAAGTCAATGCCCTAGAGTGCTCAAAGTTGTTGACTGAAGAACAAATTGGTAATAACTGAACCACATAAGCGAACAGATACAAAGTAGAATGTCTGAATTTGTGATTTATGAGATTAGTCAATGTTAGGTTACAGTATTTCCAAGACATGGCCCTGGAATTGGGTGGCTGACCTTCAATACCAAAGTAAGCCATCGAGGATGATATTATGCTACTTTGAGGAAAAAATTTTGGGTAGGTGAGTGACAAGGATGTTAAATTTGCTGCAGCTAATAGTTATAAATGTGTCTTTAAAGAATCAATGGAATTATAAGTAAGTCTGTGAAAGATAATAAGAAAAGAGAGAAAGTTTTTAAATGAATAGATTGTTGTTAAGGAGCATTTATTTTAAATAAGAGTGCTAAGAAGAGATGTCTGGAAGTGGTATGACACATACCTATACCTTCATTAAGGAGTGTTCATTTTAATAGTACAAAGTATCTTTTGCTTCATTTAATGCTTTTTAAATTAAATTTTCCTTTTTATGATTTTCATTTTGCTGGGCTTGCTTCCTTTGTATTTAAATCTGTCTGAAGTATACTTGTCTATCCTTCTGTTTAATCCTTTCAGGGTCATTTTGTTTTAGGTCTTTCTCATGTGAGCAATGTATAATTGGATTTTAGTTTAAAAGACTTCATTGATATCTATGATTTTAAGTAGAGGAGTTCAAATAATCTACATTTAAAATTGTAAGTGATATGCTTGATTTTATGCTGCTAATTTGTTTTATGCATACAGTTTTCTCTGTTTTCTCTATGTGACTTAATTTTATATGTTTTGCTACACAGATATCATGTGTATACTATTTGCCATATACTCGAAAAAGATTTTTGGTTACGTGCACAGGAGTCTAGGAAAAAACTCCTTGGCTTTGATTCTGAGCTCTGCCATTTCCTCATTGTGTGGCCTTAGGCAAGTTACTGAACTTCTCTCTCCCTTAGTTTTTGCATCTTTAAAAAGTGGATAACATTCTTACCTATCTCATAGGGTTGTTAAGAGGTTTATAGAAGTGATTTCTTGAAAAAAGCTTTAGATTTGTGTAGTATATTGAAGGTTCTCAGAAAATATTAACTCTTGTTATGCAGTAGCTTATTTGCTTTTATCTTGACCTATAATTTAGAATATATAAATTCTATATTTTTTCCATTAAAGGTCAGCGCTGTGTTTAACAGAAGCACACTTGAACTAATTTGCACATTAAATTCTAAGAGTGGGCTGGAGGCTGAGCTACATATCTATTCTCAGATTCATGGTAAGACATCAAACATCACAGTCTCAGACAACATTTTGATCTGCAAATCCCAAGGCTCCATAGTGTCAGGGATATGAGGAAAATCACAGCAACTAAGGTAAGGTTGAATGTGCTAGATAAATTACAGTTCTAGTGTTATGTTTTTCCTTAGACCCTTCTCTATATCTCTACATCTCTGTATCTTCTCAATGCTTGGCATCTAACAGAGTGTTGAGGCAGTCACCTGGTGTGTGACAGCAGCATGAAAGAGTATTGGCTGTGGAATCTAATGATCTTGGCTCTGCCAGTTACTAAAGATGAGATCTGAGGTAAGATTCTCTCTCAGAGTTTCAGTTTCTATTGAAAAAAAGGGGGAGAAGGGATAAAAATAGGTATCTCAGAAGATTGTTTAAAATGAGATAATACTTTATAAGAGCCTAGCACATAGTAGGAGTCTGGAATTGTTAATTTTCTTCTTATTTTCTCAATTGTGCCCCACTTTTTTAAGTTTCTTTCTATTTCTGCATGTGGTTAGATTGTTTTTCTCCATACTCACATCTATACAGCAACAAATTACATTAATCCAGGGCAAATCCAGTCATTAAAATAAGAATAGTATTTTATGTAGTTTGAAGAAGATTCTAAGAGTGAATGAGTGATTAGTGCCAGGAGTATTGGGTCTGAGGAATCTTTCTTGAAGTGATGAGCATTGCTCTTAATAGCAATAGGAAGTTCTTTCTTGGCAGATAAGAAAGAGGAGAGCTGGCCATAAGGAGAGGGTGGAGAAAGTAATTATCATACAATTTTTTCGTGTTCATTATACATAATTTGTTTTTAGGATATAGAAGCTATTCATCAGACCTCAATGGTCCTTTACAACCTAAGTAGCTACAACACAGATGCCTTCACCCTTTTGGGCATCCCTGGACTTGAGCAGTACCATGTCTGGATCAGCATTCCCTTCTGCTTTATCTATTTTGTGGCCATTGTGGGCAATAGTATCCTTCTCTACCTCATTGCCGTGGAGCATAGTCTTCATGCACCCATGTTCTTTTTCCTTTCTATGTTGGCCATTACTGACCTGACATTGTCTACCACATGTGTCCCCAAAATGCTTACCATCTTCTGGCTTGGTCCCCAGAAGATCAGTTTTCCCGGTTGCCTCACCCAATTATTCTTTCTGCACTACAGCTTTGTCTTGGATTCAGCTATACTGTTGGCAATGGCGTTTGACCGCTTTGTGGCCATCTGCTCACCCTTAAGATATACCACTATTCTGACCCCCAGGACTATTGTCAAAATTGTTGTGGGACTTTCCTTTAGAAGTTTCTGTGTTTTTGTTCCATGTGTTTTCCTTGTAAATCATCTACCCTTCTGCAGGACACATATCATCCCTCATACATACTGTGAGCACATAGGTGTTGCCCGGCTTGCCTGTGCTGACATCTCCGTCAATATATGGTATGGGTTTTGTGTTCCCATCATGACGGTGATTACAGATGTGATCCTAATTGCTGTCTCCTACACTCTCATCCTCCGTGCTATCTTTCAGCTCCCATCCCGTGTTGCCCGTCAGAAGGCTCTTGGCACCTGTGGTTCCCATGTCTGTGCTATCCTCATGTTCTATATACCAGCATTCTTCTCCATCCTTGCACATCGCTTTGGGCATAATATCCCCCATACTTTTCACATTATGTTTGCCAACCTCTATGTAATCATCCCACCTGCACTCAACCCTATTGTCTATGGAGTAAAGACCAAGCAGATCCGGGGCAAAGTCATTCTTCTGCTCTTTCCTAAGGGGTCCCAGTGACATATGCCTGAAGTCTGGGAGGCAGGGCAAGTTCCTAGTGTATATCAGGTTAAAGACTGAACCTGTAGACAATGATCCAGAGAAGGGACAGATGAAAAACTTCCTTATTAATCAGACCAGTGGTTTTGCTTTCTTTGTTATTTTAGACAGAAGTCTACTCAGTCATCCCGGTTACAAAAATATTATGAATCTAGGAAATAATATATATATTTTTTATTTCTGGAAACTAAAATTTTGCAATTCCTTATGATTGATGTAAGGTGATTACAAACCTTTTAGTGAAAACAAAATGATCAGCATCTTTTTTTCGTTATGAATATGTTCCTAAGGAATCTGAATTTTTTTTTCAGATTATATATCATAGTAGTTTATACATTATAGTAGAGCAAGGAATTTCTACTGTGATGACTCTGTGAGGTTCTAGATTTTTAGTTTGGTTACTCCAATCCACTTCTAGACAGCATCAAATGCAGGTCCTGGTATGTACCAGGTGCATAAGCAATGTTTATCAAATATACGAATGCCAAATAATCATGAAATTTTTAAATTAAGAGTGCAGATGTTTATTTTGGACAAAGGAAGAGGGCAATTTTGAAACCCGAAATTCATTTTTCACTCAATCTTGAGAAAGCCAAATGAGATGAGAGTGGTCAGAATACCCTAAGAATGAATAAAAAGAGGAAGCTAAATTCTTATGGACAATAAGATGGAAAAGCATGTACAGATTAAGATGTGGGATTGAAATTTGACCAACTGGAAGCACTGGTGGCCCAAAATCTCTTCTTCGTTCTTCTATCTCAAAAGAGATATAGTCCCATGCCAAAAATGTATCTCTATTTGTATGATTCATTATCTTTTCAAATCCAGTATGTCTAACTTGGTCATAGTGAGTCATTCAGTCACTAAATCAGTCAAGGAATAACTATTTTTGGGGTTTGCCAGGTACTAATAATAGTTGATGTCTAATTTCCTCCAATATTTAATATGTCCTCAAAGCCTAGATCTTCTTTCTAAACAACCTGTTGGGTTCAAATGTGAGCACCTCCCTCCCTTACCACAGTGATCCAAATGTTCATCACTTTTCATCCAAATCAAAATTCCAACGTTCTACACAGTCTCTCTACTTCTAGACTGTTTTCCCTCCCCTATGCTACCACCCCATTCACTTGTCACTAAATTTATACTACTACAATAACCCTCAACCTATAATTTAATAGGAAAGATACGTTTGTTGGACTCAAAGACTAAAGTTTTAGTATATATTCTTTTACTGTGTGACATTAGCCACACATGTTGTTTCCAAAATTATTTGATGTATTTTGAACATCATAAACAAAAATACTATGAAGTATAAGTGGAAGATAAAGTAGAAACAAGAAGAAAAACAGAAACAAAGATTTTAAAAAAATAAGACAAGAAATAGGCTAATCCACTTTCCACCTACCATGAATTCTTATTCTCTAATTACACATGGGTCAAGAATTCAGCTCTAGTCTATGTGCGAGTTAAGCATGATTTAGTTACCTAAGTCACAGTGCCTATAAATTAAAAGCCAGTCAATTGTTCAGAGAAGTAAAAACACTTCTGACATGAAAAATAAAAAGAGATATCTTCAGAGAGCTCTTAGAGAAAAGGTACCAAGTGTGCAATTAATTACATTCTTATAGAATATACAGTTTAACGGGACTCTTCAGTCCCTTACCTCCATACAAAGCACTATAACATTCCAAATTACTATTCAACAAAAGCTAAAAATTCTGTAGGGAGCCAAAATAATGCTAACCTTCTTAGGTCTGATTTAGCCCAGATATTTAGTCCAGATATTCAAAGAACTGAGTGGACCTCAGGCAATTTTTATTAATTCACTCTTTAAACAATATTTAGCAAATATTTGTCAAACATTTTCCATACCTGAAACACTGTGTTAGAGATTCTGTTTACCATGTTGAACAAAACAGAGATGGCCCTTATCCTAGTGGAGTTTGCAACCTGGTGAGGGAGTCAAGCTTCAATCATGTAAACACCCAAATGAACATATAACTTCAAATTGCATTAGATTTTATGACAAACAAAAATTAAAAAAGAGTGCTCTTGAAGAGATACTATTGGAAGAAACCAACTTCAAATTAGGTATTCAGAAAGGCTCTTTCTGAAAGAAATTGCATTTTCTCTAAGAAAGAGAGTCAGTCAAGTGGGGGATGGAGGAGGGTATGATTCAAGCAGAGGAGGTGAATGAACTGTACACTGAAAACTATAAGACATTGGTAAAAGGAATTGAAAAAAGACACTAATAAATGAAAAGATATCCCACGTTCTTGGATTGGGAAATTTAATATTGTTAAAATGTCCATACTACTCAAAGAGATCTACAGATTCAATGCAATCCCTATCAAAATTCCAATGGCATTTTTCACTGGTATAGAAAAAAACAGTCCTCAAATTTGTATGGACCCACAAAAGACCCCCAAAAGCAAAAGCAATCTTGAGAAAGAAAAACAAAGCTGGAAGCATCATACTTCCTGATTTCAAACTATTTTACAAATCAATAGTAATCAAAACAGTATGGTGATTACAGTATGGCATAAAAACAGACACATAGATCAATGGAACAGAATTCAGAATCCAGAAATAAACTCAGGCATATATGGTCAACAAAGGCACCAGTGGGGAAAAGGATAATCTATTCAATAAATGGTGTTGGGAAAACTAGATATCCACATGCAATAGAATGAAACTTGACCCTGATCTTACAGCACTCACAAACTTAACTTGAAATGGTTTAAATACTTAAATGTAAAATCTGAAACTGTAAAACTCCTGGAAGAAAACATAGGGAAAATCACTGTGACCTTGACCTTGACCATGATTTCTTGGATATGACACCAAAAGCACAAGTAAAGTAAGCAAAAATAAACAAGTGAGACTACATCAAACTGAAAAGCTTCTGCACAGCAAAGGAAACCAAGAAAATGAAAAGGCGACCTACAGAATGGGAGAAAATATTTGTAAACTATATATCTTATAAGGGGTTGATATCTAAAATATAAAAGGAACTCATTTAAATCAATAGCAAAAAAAATAATAATCTGATTAAAAGTAGGCCAAAGACATGAAAAAACATTTTCTCCCAAAAAAGAAGACATACAAATGGCCAACAGGTACATGAAAAAGGGCTGAACATGGCTAATCGTCAGGGAAATGCAAATCAAAACCACAATGAGATTTCACCTCACACCTGTTAGGCTATTACCAAAAAGACAAGAAATAACGAATATTGGTAAAGATGTGGAGAAAAGGGAACCTTTGTACAATGTTGATGGGAATGTAAATTGTTGCAGTCATTATGGAAAACAGTATGAAGTTGCCCCCAAAAAATTACAAAGAGAACTACCATATGATCCAGCAATCCCACTTCTGTGTATATATCTGAAGGAAATAAAATCAGTTATGTCGAAGTGATATCTGCACTCTCATGTTCATTGCAGCATTATTCACAAATGCCAAGATATGGAAACAACCTAAGTGTCCACCAACGGATGAATGGAGAAAGGAAATGTGGTACATACATATATATATGTACAATGGACTATTATTCAGCAACAAGGAAGAAGGAAATCTTGCCATTTGCAACAACATGGATGAAGGGCATCATACTAAGTGAAATAAGCGAGACAGAGAAAGACAAATACTGCGTGGTATCACTTGTATGTGGAATCTGAAAAAAAAATTGAACTTACAGAAATGGAGAGTAGAATGGTAGCTGTCAGCGGCTCGTTGGGGGTGGGGAATTGGGAGATGCTGGTCAAAGAGTACAAACTTTCTATTATGAGATAAATAATTTCTGGAGATCTAATGTACAGCATGATGACTATGGTTAATAATACTGTATTGTATACTTGAAATTAGCTGAGAGTAGATCTTAAGTGTTCTCACTACACACACACACACACATGAAAGGTAACTGTGTGACGTGATGGATGTATTAATTAAATTGACTGTGGAAAATATTTCACGATGCATGTGTATATCAAATCATCATGTTGCACACTTTAAATATATACAATTTTATTTGTCAATTATACCTTAATAAAACGAAATAAAGAAAAGTAAACATTTACAGATGAATAGACTTTGGAATGCTTATTTTAAAAAATCAAAAAAGAAAAGACAGAGGGATTACTACATGTAAAGACAAAGAGCTGACAAAAGGCTCAGTGCATGAATGGAACTGGAAACAGTGATATGGGGGCCCAGTTACGTAGAAGGGATAACAAAAGGTGAGATTGCAGAAGACAGAAAATTCTGGCCTATTTTCAGGAGTTTGTTTAATATTCTAAGAACAATGGGAAGCCATAAGAATTATGTCAGTTGGCAACAAGGTCCAAACTGTTTTAAAACATTACTCATAAGTCTGTTGTTTTTGTTATGGGGTTTGTGATAGCCTTTTCGGGGGGTGGTGGGTGGTCACTGGAGTCAGCAGCCACTCTATACTACCTATTCACATACACTTTAACCCTCAGTAGGTGGGCAGCCTTTTTGACCAAGGAAAAACCTAATTCCTTAAATTGCCTGAAGGAAAGTCAAAGTCAACTCCAATTAGAAACCGACCTGTAGAATACCTGTCCATGGGGCTAAGGAGTCCTGTGAAATAACTGATTCCACACTGTGCACAATAACTAAACGGGAGTTCAAATAATTGATAGGGGCCAAAATTAATATGCATAAAATACTAAAACAGGTATAAGGAAATTTCCACCTTAATCATTTAAAAGAAGGAGTAACAAAGTTAAACAAATTATTGTACAAATGTTGGTAACTAAATTGTGGGGACTTCCATTTTGAAATAGTTGATTTGTACTCCAGTATGACAATACTAGATAGCAGAGCCAGCTGTCTGTTAAGGCACCACTCTTAAATCATGCTAATAGAACCATATCATTTATGTGTAGAATAATAATTGGTTTGTTGCTGTTATTTAAGTGGGGGTGGAGGGTGGGAGG